GTATATTTGCCCAGTTAAAAACAATTTTCATAATTAAATTTCGTCATCCTTAGATAGCTTGGGATATGTTACGTTTATATATTAGTCTAGGCATATTAGGAAAGTTAGCAGAAAGTTTAGGTACAGTCCTAATCATCACTTTTCTTTATGTTTTTTGGGTCGCTGAACACGAATATTAGGTTTGCTGACAGATATTTTGCCCGGAACATTGGTTATTTTGTGAAAAACCTTAAAATTTGGGCACTTTTTTCGGGTTTTCGGGCAAATCTCGAAAAGTATGGGATTTTGAGAAAATCCTGCTTTGTAAAATTAAAGATGACAAAATTTACTACAAGTGGCCTATATAATGTTTGTTTCTACGACGAACCGTTTCGCCAATAGAGCACACTAAAGCTGGGTTTTCCTAGACGCGGAGTCGGCCAGCGGAGAGCGGACAACGGAGAGCGGAATTGAAATAACATGGCATTCCGCTCCGCTGCTAGGAAAACAGTAACATTAAATTACCTAAGACAAGCTTTAAGCCGGGTTTTCCTAGGCGCGTAGTCGGCCAGCCGAGAGAGGAACACGGAGAGCGGACTCAGCTTGTCTTAGGTAATTTAATGTTACTGTTTTCCTAGCAGCGGAGCGGAATGCCATGTTAATTTCAATTCCGCTCTCCGTTGTCCGCTCTCCGCTGGCCGACTCTGCGTCTAGGAAAACCCAGCTTAAAAAAGGCCAGAAGTACAAAAAATTAAAAACATTGCTAAATGCCGCCGTTTTACATTACGTTTTCATAGAAACAACCAATGTTACGATCATTTTAACTATTTATTCATGATAACAAACTGAAACACACTTAAAAATACCCCCGCCGCAGCAAACCTGCAGACTAAGCGAATTTCCATTTCCCTGATTGGATTTACACTAAAATGTCTCCTTAGAAATATCACATTTATTCCCTATTTAAATAAAAGTTTAACGAGTACTTAGGTTTGATGCAACAGGGAGGGTAAAAAGGTGTTTTTTGTAAAATGTAATAATTTAGTATGAAATGAATGCATTTTCCAAATTTGATCAAAATATGTTCATAAACAAGCAAACTACAACAGTTTACTTAGTCTCCATAATTATAATAGGCATTTTAAAATTACAGATTTTTGGAATTTTCTCCGTAACCAGGCGCATAACAACGCTTTAATATACTAAACTATTTGTTTTTTTAAGCTCTACAAAATGGTATGAAAAGAAATTGCTAAATTTTAAGTTTATAGGGTCAAAAATAGGAAAAACCAATATTTACCCCCTAAAACCCCCCATAAATCCCTGTTCCCATAGTCCGATCATGCTGAGCAAAACCAAAAATGAAAATAAACCCTAACCGTTTTAAAAAGGTTTTACATTGGGTTTCCATGGAAACAACCCATGTTACGATAATTTGGACTATTTATTCATGATAAAGAACTGAAACACACTTGATAAATCTATGCCAAGATGTATGACTGACTGCTGGAACATTTCCCGTTCCCACAAAACCCCCATTTATTTTCTCAGCACAGGGATGTTGCTGGCCACAGGGTTGACTGCTATAGTGATTGAGAAAAAAGGATGAAATACATTAAAAGAGTTGTAGATAACTTTAGCTTTGGTAACGTCAAATTCAGACGAGTAGACCGTGTCCAGCCACTTGCCATAGTAAATAACGCGATGAAAGTGGAGAATTCTTACCCGTAAACCCCAACACATTGTTTCAACGTATCAGCATCGCTAAGAATTCTGATGAAGAACTAAAACACTTCTTGTCCTACGAACTGGGTCCATACTCTTTCTCGTTGTTTGATAATAACGGTTTGCACAAAGAACCAAATCAAATCTTTAAAGGCCTAAAGCCCCTGTCCCCATTGAAAACAAGCACTTCCATGGTCAAGTGCAGTATGTTATTGATGGTGGGTTCCTACTACACAAAAGTTATGGCCAGAGCATCAACCTTTCAACCATAAAAAACCAAGCATCAACCAAGAAAAACTTAATCGACAACATACTGTCAACATACTCCTTGCCTTGCTATAAAGAAGAAAACTGTAGGCAGCTGAGAATATTCAAAGATAAACTTGGTCCTCTGTTTCTTACCCTTGAGGAAGCCTTAAAAGCGAATGAGGATGTGGAAGAAGATGTTTTTTCTCTCATCTTGGGCCCATAAAAAATTGATGGAATGCCAACCTTCAACCCGAAGAGAGTGAATTACATGATCCTACCAACCAACCTATTCATGAGATTATTAACATTATAAAAAGAAAGATTGTCTCCATTTTCCACAATTTAATCCTAAAAGACGGGTATTTCTTTCAGGTGGAATTTTGCGGTCAGAAGACACACTAGTTAGTTTATTAGTGAATTTCCCCTATAGGGAATAAGCTATTACCGTAGTACTCATGGTAAGACCTGGACCCGGAACTGATTTACATTTTCGTTTTGAGGCCCCTAGAGACCAAAAACACCATCCGTTCAAATTCATATATGTGTCCGTGGCGAGAACTCGAGCAAAAATCATCCGATTTTGATGAAAATTGGGACAAACCTGTAAACCTACGCCTATTCGAACGAGTTCGTGAACCAGCATGATCGGACTATGGGAACAGGGATTTATGAGGGGTTTTATGGGGTAAAAATTGGTTCTTCCTATTTGTTATGTAGACAAAGAAAACTGTTGTAGTTTGCTTGTTTATGAACATATTTTGATCAAATTTGGAAAATGCATTCATTTCATACTAAATTATTACATTTTACAAAAACACCTTTTTACCCTCCCTGTTGCAGCTAACCTAAGTACTCGTTAAACTTTTATTTAAATAGTTAATAAATGTGATATTTCTAAGGAGACATTTTAGTGTAAATCCAATCAGGGAAATGGAAATTCGCTTAGTCTGCAGGTTTGCTGCGGTGGGGGTATTTTTAAGTGTGTTTCAGTTTGTTATCATGAATAAATAGTTAAAATGATCGTAACATGGGTTGTTTCTATGAAAACGTAATGTAAAACGGCGGCATTTAGCAATGTTTTTAATTTTTTGTACTTCTGGCCTTTTTTAGTGTGCTCTAGTGGCGAAACGGTTCGTCGTAGAAACAAACATTATATAGGCCACTTGTAGTAAATTTTGTCATCTTTAATTTTACAGAGCAGGATTTTCTCAAAAACCCATACTTACCGAGATTTGCCCGAAAAACCGGAAAAAGTGCCAAAATTTTAAGGTTTTTCTCAAAATAACCAATTTTCCGGGCAAAATATCTGTCAGCAAACCTCATATTCGTGTTCAGCGACCCAAAAAACATAAAGAAAAGTGATGATTAGGACTGTACCTAAACTTTCCGCTAACTGCCACTTTTATTCCTAATATGCCTAGCCTATATAGGGTGTCACAAAAAAGTGTGATGGGCTATACAGGACCTAATTCTACATGCAAAAATAAGTCAAAAATGAAGAATAATTTTTTTTTTGATTTCGGCTTAGTTTAGCCGTAATCCGCCATTTTGTTTTTTGGGGAAAATACGGCTAAACTAAGCCGAAATCCAAAAAGATTTATTCTTCATTTTTGACTTATTTTTGCATGTAGAATTAGGTCCTGTATAGCCCATCACACTTTTTTGTGACACCCTGTGTATATTAACTGTTTGAAATAATATTTAGAATATGAAAAGAATTTACATGATACATAATGTGTATTGGAAACGAATGTCACGTGAGCCTTTGAAATTTTAATTTGAACAAATCTGGAAATTACTCATAAATTACTACATTCAGTAAACTTAGTTGGTAGTTAACAAATTCAGTTGTAACGGAATTACGTTCTTATTCGGTAATTCACGGCGATGGACGGCGAGTGGACAATAAATGACGTAATCAATATTGTGAACCGCCTCATCTACCCGCTCTCAACACAAAACAAAAACTCTTGCATGCATTTGGTTAAATTATTCCCACTCTAAAACACAAAAATGTCAGGAGCTATGTATTAAACATGGCATTATTATACGCATTCCAGTATAAAACTATGTAATTACAACGCATGAGCTTCGTCCAAGACAAAACTGTAGCTAAATTTCTACAGCACAACAAGAGATCCCCTTTCACAACAGCTTTGACCTACATGTGGCTGCTTAATACTGGTTCTACAAAGGAACACAACAGCTTGAATTAGTATAATATAGACCAGCTAAAGCTAAAATGCTTGTCCTGGCCACAATGTACTCGTTCTACAACAGAAAACAGCAGCTTTAGACTGTGTGTGAAAGCTTGATAACTTTATTCCATCTCCAAAGTGTACACGATTTAAACTATTATTGGCAACATTACTCCCACTTTACTAAACAACAATAAGCATTATGTATTTTACTAAATTATATTACGCCACTCAGCGTAATGAGCTAACAATAACAAGTTATGCTAATTTTATAAATTTATTAAAAAAAAAAACCCCACTTTATGAAAACTACACCTGGCCAAATTACACTACGGCAGACTAGTTAAATAGCAATCCATAAATTTTGAGTAAAACGGATGTATTGCCATTCAAATAAATATCTTCGGAAGGACAAACAGTACTGTATTTCAATCGATATTTTATACGCTTTAAACCGTTAACCATTCGGTTAATGACTTTGGATATATTTCAGTTGGTTGCAATGGAAATGGAAACAAACACTTGAATGGGGATGAATTTGAGCCGTGGGTGAGAGCTAATGAATTGTACACTGTGCTGAATAGCGCTAAGCGAGCTCTCATTATGCCAGCTTTGCATTCTGTTGAAACAAAAAGCTTTGAATTCTAATCCCATATATGTCTTTCTAAAAACGTGTTTAAAAATGATTTGTAAATGGCACTAGCTGCCAACTACACAAAGTAGCTCTATACAGGGTTGACAACACTATTTACAGATTATAATATAAACATTTGCATATATCGATTTAAGCAAATTATGTTAAGTTAAATTATGTAATTACGTATGTTATGTTAAATGTAAAATACTTACAAGTATCGAGAAAAATGATTGTGTTTCGGTTTTGATAGAAGGGATTGTACGGCCCTCTGCAGAACAGAATTCTGAAAAAAGAAATATACTATTTGAATTTTTTAACAACACCTTATACTAATTTCACTTTCATAGTGGTAGTTTCTATAATTTTGCTAATGTTAGTACAATACCTATTATAACTATGGGTTCTCTGAACCTCTCCAAGGTAAACATTATACGATAAACTCATCATGCTACAATCTTTGATTATATATACAACTAGACATTCAATCCCCAAGTTAAGTTGTAGCCAGATTTTTTATCAATATCGTCGTAGTTGATGTGAGCCACCGTCGGATTGTGCTGATGTAAATTATTAATTTCTGTCAAATACACAGACTTTTTTACAAAATCAATTTGAAGAAACTACTTAATGTAAGCTATTGCAACTACTGTTATTACCCATCAACTATGACAGGAAAAAAATAAGGTAGTAATATAATTTTGGACTCTAGCACAATCTGTGACTGGCTCTCATAACTACTTCGTTTTTTATAAACATTTGCGACAACTGGTCCGTATAGATGGGATTTCTACTTCAGTATCCAATAGTCAACATGCAGCTGGTTTACAAATCTGTATGTTCAATACGTGAAGGGAATTTCAGCGAAACACTACTCCTGCGTTAACAAATGATGTGTCAAAATGAAGTGTCTTTCATGTAGACGCCCCCTTAAACCAATTCATGTAAAATCATCGGGCTCTATCCCACATAACAGGCCTCCAAAGTTTAAGTGTATTCCTTATAAAAACATGTTTAGCCTATTTGTGTATTTTTCTTTGAACTTTCCCTTGTACGTTTGATGTATTAATGTATTTACAAACCACTATAAATCAACAGAGTTACTTTTGCAACGTGTGTACTTATTGTTAGTGTTCGCAAGTACAGTTTGTGTGTTACGATTTCTTTTTTTTTATTAAATATTTATTAAATTTCGTTTAGTTGGTAAAATAAAAACATAAGTCAAAATTCCTGAACTCGTGCACAGTATGTAGAATCATGACACGTTGTTGTAGACATATTGGAAATCTACTACCTGTGCTTTGAAAACAATATTTTGCCCGATGGATAAGATCCTGAATTTTTACCTTAAAGCCAACGGGCTGCGAAATCATAGATGGCTGTTAGAATGACACACAAAATTTGCATATAGAGCGCCCTCCTCATCTGCTGCATTAGTTCAAGAGGTCCAGGCTGTACTGGTGCACTGGTGCCTGGGCTGGGGTTCGTTTCACCTGGAGCCTTTGTTGTCTGTCCTTTGCTATCCTTGCTTGTTGTCTTGTCACATGTCTTTGATCTTCTTGATCTTTCGGCCCTTCTATTTCTTGAGTCACTTGATGACGATGACTCGCTGTCACGTCGGCTGTCTCTGTCTCGTTTTGGCATTTTTTATAGATAAAAGAATCTTTTATAATGTCATGAAATTTTGATAATTTGTTGTTTGAAAAATGAATTAATTTAGTGACTAAAATAGATATAAGAAAAATAGTTATAGTTTTTGAACAAGTGGACTGTATTTTGTTTTATTTACATTATGAATCACTTACTGGTTTTTGTCAATTCCTCGTTAAGTTAAATACAATAATGTTGTAGCGATTTTCTTGAATTGTATTTACACTTTCTTCATACATATCTTCTCAGTTAATTCTGTCTTCATTTGTTGATCATCATCACAGTCACATGTTTTTCAAAGATCTAATTGTTGTACATTTAATTTTGAGTAGTTAAACTGCATGCATTTACAGTGTTGCCAATTTTAATAATGAAATATTATTTTTATATACAATGTGAATATAATTTGATGTAATAACATATGATAAATTAAATATTGAAATGAATTGTATTTGTAACTTAAATAATAATAAATTGTAAACATAAACATTGGTTAATGAATTTTGATTGAGTTATTTGGAATAATTTAAATATGAAATAATGAAAACTAATAAATACTTAACACGATTAAATAGAACAAAAACAAAAATAAACTGTAGACAAATTAACAATAAATACAAGTTTCATCAAACCATCTAGGTGGCAGACGATGAAGCCGTATACAAAAGTACAGCTTACGGAATCAGAGCAGAAATGTGGAGGGGGTGGGGGAAGCCCAGGCGTGGCCTTGTATAGCATCAAGGTGTTTATTTAACTGCTGTCCATATAAACTTAAAATGGAATTTGTTTAGAAATGGTGGACCGTTATAATTATATTAGGATTAAGATTTTTTCGTTTTTCTTATCTTACCATACATTTTTTATCATAAGCAAACAAAATATTTACTTAAGGATTTATCACAAATTCTTAACTCTTACTGCGTACATATTAGATTTTTCTTTGCCTGTAGTACAGAGGCACGTATGATATTTTTATTCAAGTTGGTGTGACTGAGGTAACCAAACTTCCTTATTGAACAGTAGACAAGACTTAAATTACTTGCAAAAACTGTATAGAACATTTTGCCTTACATAGCTGTTATAATATAGAACGTATTTTTACTTTCAAAAGAAAAAGTGTTTCAGCGTATAAAAAGTCCGAAATATATCAAACGAATTGTTTTCGAGTTATTGAGTCAACAGACACGTTTGTTTGTGAGACCGTTTTCATCAAACGAAGTGAATCTATGAGATTTTTTCATTCGGGTTTTTTTATTTTGTTTGATCAGTTGACAACATTCTGTCATAAATTGAACTCTCGCCCTATTGTATTAGTTTTATTGGTCAAAAATGCCCATTCTGTCTCGCTCATTTCTATCAAACGCCAAAAACTGAGCCTGCGTCTATTGATTGGAAATGAATGGGTTGTGACGCCAATGATATTTTACCAAATTAGACATTGATATTGTCATACGTAATCCGTTGTATCGAATCTCGTTGGAGTAGCAATCTAAGGGAACCAAGGTAATTCAAAAATAATACTATCTTAGAACATTAAAGAGATATTTTAGATTGCGAACGGGTTAACCCTGGCACATCTATAAGTATTTAAGGGCTTGAACAACTTTCATTTAAAAACGTTTATGTTATTAATTGCAACACACTTTACAGACGTTAAAACTAACCAAAGTCATATTATGGGAATATCGGTAAAACTTAATTAGCTTTACCGCGTTACAAATAGATCACATATTACATATATCTTCATCATTCATTCGATTCGTGAAACCAAATTAATTAATTCACGATGCGAGCGCAAATCCATCACCAATTTTGCGGCAGAGCTTTGTTTTGTGCCTTTGATTGGATTTACAATAATTTAATCCGCCTTTAGGGGGGGGAATTAACAGATTAATTTTGTTACAATAGTGTTAATGAGTCAGCCTTGATCCCTTCTTTTGGTGATAGAATTACTTTTAAAATTAAATAGATTTTGATTGTATTTGATTTTGATTGTATACAATAAAAAGTTCTTCATACAGAAAGTAAAATTTCAAACATGTTGGAACAGCTTGAGTGTTCAATGTTATGAACAATGATAACACTAATTTAGCAATTATGGAGGAAGGCTATTCATAATTTTTAATATTATGACTACTGGGGTAGATTTGAACCAACATACTCTAGGTGAAATCAAACTTAAATTCAAACAAATCTCTACTCTATTCACACACGCAGAATAAGGTTACTACGTATGTGTAAATAACACGTAAATCAGTTGTTTTCTCACCCTGGGGTTGGTCAGCATGGCGATGGCCTCGCTGAGGTGTTTTAGCTTTAGGGTAGAAGTGTCCTCGTCCTCTGCTAGCTGGAAGGAGTTCTGCCGGGGTGGCGCCGGGACGGGGGCGCCAGAGTTACTAGAGGGCGCCGCCTTCCGAGCGGCCAGGGCGGCCATGGGACAGCCAGACATGTTGAGGCTCTCACTGACGACGAGTCATCGACAACCTGCAGACATGGCACGAGGTCAACATGTGATGCAGGTACACTGTCTTTACCAACTTACACACGAACACGTAAAATACACGGTACATCAACATACATGGCTAGCTCAGTGATAGTGTCTTGAACTGAAAAATCAGACATTGTTATTTAAGAAACTGAGCGTCTATCACTGCAGTCAGGTCAAGGTAGATTTGGTACATCATCGCCTTTACATCCTCGCACTGACCTGTAGTTGTGATGAGCAGTTAAAAGCATAGGCCTACGAAACTTGTCGTCATTTAATACACTACACAATCTTTAGTGTAGAATAAAGTGAGATATCTTGTACAGCTTTGTTACTGACTAAACCCAGATATTTATTAGCCAGAATTATTTATTAAAAGTCTAAAGATTCAAGCTGAATACAATTTCGCATAATCCAAAATCTAATATATTTTTTTGTACGAACTGGCGACCTGATTTTATTACTATCTAAGTGTCACGTAAGCAGCGATGATATGACAAGCTAAGAGATTGTGTTAAGTGTCTACAGCAGTACGCTTCTTGAGTGGCTCATTCTACAAACTTCGCTTTTATTCGCGAATTTCCCATGTAGGGAATAAGCTATTACCGTAGTACCCATGGTAAAACCTGGGCTCCGGACCGAGGTCCCTAGTGGCCAAAAACACCATCCATTCAAATTCACACGTATATATATTTATATATGTGTCCGTTAGAATAATAACTCGTGCAAAAATGATCTAATTTTGAAATTAAATTTCTGATTAAATGTTTTTAGAGTATTTTATAAACAAATGTACTACCACTATTCAATAAAAATATACACTTAACTTACATTACATATATTAATCCAAAAACTTTATATTAAAGTTCTATTAAATTACCATACTATAAAATACTTGATATAACTGAGATGGGATTCGCCCAAACAATAAAAGTTACAAAAGTTGTAGTTTTTAGCTTAATACAGCAAACTTAATTTCTTCAATTGAATACAATACAATTGATTCAAGACTCTTTGATATTTTTGCACTTATGCATCAACTTACTTGATCCTAGTTTAATGTAACAGTTGACTACTGCGGAGACCAGTCTTATTGATAGCTTCTCCATTGCGCTCACGCTAAACTAGTTTACGCCATGCATTGGTCACTTGTTGGTAGAGAGGTTCAGACAGTTTTTTTCCATGTTACTAACGCCAGTCGTTCAAACAACTCTTTTGCTTCCCTCTTCACACTTCATCCATTGCCTTTGGTCCAAAAAAGAATTGCAATATACCGGGTGTCCCAAAACGAATGGATTAAAAGTAAACTTGCATAAATACTTATCTCTACATGTTCTCCGCTATATAGTCAAAGAAAGTCAAGTCAATGTTCCAGCTCTGACTGCACATTGTGGTGTATTTTTTCCAAAGGCTTCCCTTGTCTTTGCTTTAAATTGGTCTATAATTAAGATGAATTAGCGATACACACACTTGATCTTTCACAAACCCCAAGACCTAAAGAAATCACACCAAAGATTTTATCTTTATTAACCGACTTCCCCACTACCAACAAAAGGAGGAGGTTCTCAATTTGTCTGTGGCGATGTTTTTTTTTTCTATGTATGTTCACCAATTTCTCTGTGATTCTCTTACCGATCAGTGTGGTTCCACCACCAAAATAACCAGGAGAGTTTCTATTTGGTACCTTATATATTATGTTTAAGTATAATATTTGTTTCGGTGAAAAATTCTGAAAACCTTAAATATTCAACATTCATTTTGTTTACATTTGTGCACATTGTTTACATTTGTGCAGAGAAGGCAATAAATAATAATAACATTCCTACAGCTGTTAGTTGAAACCATTTAAAAGACACAGACAATTTCTTCATGAAACAGTTGCTTCATATTGATCAATAAACTATTTCTTGCCATGAAGCCTAAATTAATTACATTGAGAAAAATGCATTTTGTTTTGGTTACTATAAAAAATGTATTTTAACGTTTGACCTGATTTGTGTATACAGTAATTATGTTTTTAGTATTGAATATTCTGACTTACAAAAACATACATTTTTCAGTGAATAGCTGTATGATAATGACAAATAAAGGTGTATTGTGAAAACCACAGCATTCGTAAAACAGGTATAAATATAAATCAAATGCAATTATTCCTTACACGACCTAAGAAGTGTGACAGTGCATAATCGTCAATTGTCTTAAAAGTGTTGAATATTTTAATTACTAAACATGCATTTGCAGATGTGGAATGTTTATTGATATTCTCTACCCAGTTACTATAACATATCAATACTATTTTATGCCTGCTTCGGAAAGTCCTAGAGGAAGATGATTTGCAATTTCAACTAGGCTATATCTTGAGCAAACAAAACCCCCTACATGACTTACACCACTTTTAGCTGAACCAATCTTTCATATAATATTTTCCAAAGGTACTATACGAAAGGTTCTATGGTGTTAACGACCAATTTTCCACTTTTGAGAGATTTTTTAGTGCTGGTAGCTGAGGAATAACTTTATTTTGTTCCAAAAGGCTTGAGACGTTACTGTATTTCTTTTTATAATGTAGAAGTACACCGATTGCAAAGAAACGATGATGTCTGACATTTCAATGTATCTAGAAAAGACAATTAGTTTTTCATTAGGCCTAATGTAATGGACAACTCTTTCTTTCTTAATATCTAAATATGTTTATTTTCATACCCATTGATTATGTAACCTGAACAGGTGACTCAAGCAGTTTTAAAATAATGATTGTTCTGTGGAACGTTTGATTGTTTCAAACAGTTTTGCTTATCAAAAAACCCCAAGTAATTAATACCGGTACATAAAAACTATACGGTCACTAAAAATCATGAAATAATTTATTTTTGTAAAAAAATACAACCGACTTCAAACGCTCTAAAAAGAATGAAATAATTTAAATAAAGTTAACTTTTGTATTAGGCAAGCTCACGTATTTCAAGTCGGCGCGGTTCAAACTGCAAATATGATTGAAATTAAATATTGTGTGTGTATTTTGAAAATCAATAAATTGTAGCTGGATAACATAAATATATAAAAAACATACTGAACTGTTTTGTTTATATATTAAAGGAAATATTTTCTTGTATTTTATGTTTACTTCAGAATAAATGCATTATGAAAATAACACACACAAATGTTCTATATGAATAGGAAAATAATTTAGTTTGAAATTATGATAGGGAAAAGAAGCTAGTTTAGTATTAAAACGTTACATTTCCAAGTTAGAAACATTTAAATGCGTTATAATCTTTTTAAAGATACTCGTTAATACCACTATAATGCCGATCTCTGATTACGGTAATAAAATAACACTTAACGCATAACTATGAAAAAGACATGCAGATTAACACCTTTAGTTATAGATAGTCACCTGCAATATGGACACCCTCTTTCAATTTTGTATCAAAAATCATCATAGAGCCGCGCCGAATTGAAATACGTGAGCTTGCCTAATACAAAAGTTAACTTTATTTAAATTATTTCATTCTTTTTAGAGCGTTTGAAGTCGGTTGTATTTTTTTACAAAAATAAATTATGAACCATTCGATATACTGTGCTTTCAACTGCAACTCCATTTACTATATTGCAGCTTAATTAAAAAAAAATCAAACAGGCTACAAAAATGAAACAGCTGATTTCTGTTGAAGGGTACCGAAAGAAACTCTAAGATATTAGCTTCAAAATTAGCCATAGTTGACTTTTCTAGGACCTTTGGTAACACGCATATTAAGATGTAGATATGGTCGATTCTTTTTTGGACATTGCTGTTGGTCTAAACCAACAGTAAAAGCATATGATTTTAAAAACTATTACATTATTAGTAAGCGTTGATATGCATGGCATATTTGCACTTATACATTAACTTACTTGATCCTAGTTTAATGTAACAGTTGACTACTCCAGAGACCAGTCTAGTATTGATACCTTCTCCATTGCGCTCACGCTCAACTAGTTTACGCCATGCATTGGTCACTTGTTGGTAGAGAGGTTCAGACAGTTTTTTTCCATATTACTTACGCCAGTCGTTCAACAACTCTTTTGCTCCCCTCTTCACACTTCATCCATTGCCTTTGGTCCAAAAGGTCCAAATAGAATTTAAAATATTGGTATGAAAGTTTGTGTCTAACATCAAAATATCTGGGGAAGGAAAAAAAGATAGAAAGTTCAAGATTTAGTGTAGATTGTTATTATTGTTGATAGATGTTGGCTGTTCTAACTTATCTCAAGAGATACGGTAATTAGCAAGATTATTCACAATGCTGAATAATCGTATTGTGGTGAATAATCGCACTAAGGATCTGTTGAGATCAAGTAAACAAACTACATTAGTCAAATATAATACAGACCAGGGGCTATAGTAGATTCTATTTTCTTCCTCTACAATACATTTGATTTACACACATAAAGTTAATAAATCGTTAGTCGAATTAATGAAAGTATGTTTTAGAATTCATTTCCTACTACTGGAACGTTAGTTATTAATAAATAATAATAATATTACCTTCTTCCGTTCCAAATGATTGTAGTTATTTACGACGCGTTTCGTCAGCACAGTGACATCATCAGGTATCCGCTATCGCTTCGTCTTGAATATATTAACATAAAACAGTCATTGAACAATACACAAACACACATTTAATACATTTAAAGACCGGTCGTTGTTGTCGTCGCGGTGGCCACAACTCACGTACGCACATGACTAATTCTGGGCGACGACTGCAGGATGGATCGTTGTCTATGGTGTACTTTGCACCATGACGTCATTTCTCTTCTCCAGGTGTATCACGGTGTCAAACAATGCATTTCCTTGAGTATTAATTTTGTCATTCAGTACGTTGTTTGGTTCATACTGTACTGCTTTGTAAATTTCGTAATACTCAAGTGTGGACATCAAATTACTTTTCTTGCACTTGTGTAGTATTTGCAAGTTGTCTGAGATGGAACTGTAGTTATGTCCACATTGTATGAGATG